TATGTAATAACTATCAATATATAAATCCCAAAGTACCCATAAACTTTTGAGAAAACTAAAAGACATACCCCCATAAGCCATATACTTAAAATGTTCGTCATGATGAGAAAGCTTGCGCTAAAATATCCATTTTTTCATAAATTGCCCTTTAAGGTCGTAATTCCTTTCTAACGGGAACTTTTCATATTATACCTATTGCTAAAAATACCTCAGCTGTACTTATTTGTTTGTAATTCCTTTAATTTATTACTTTTTTAAATCGGGTGTGATTATTTGTTCGTATTACTGTGTTCTGTTTTATTAATAGTTATGAAGTCAGACGGGGTGAAGCCCGTAGGTAACAGCTAGTTCACATAATATCCATTCCCATAATGTCAAATGTCAAAATATTTTATAGAGATGAAGTTAACGTATTACTTTAATTTTACTATATTATATCGGTTTTATAAGGCAGTAAATATAATAAATTGTTAACCCATCAGTATACACAATCTTTTGATGGATTTTCAGCTTTTTATCAATTTTTAACGGTTCCTAATCTTGACATATCAGGACATGTCAGATGTCAAGAATACTAAATGACAAAAAGCATTTATAAAACCAAAACTGACCAATCTGTCTAGTTGAAGTCTTATGGGTAGGTTGAAAATATTTTAAATAGGGCTAAATGCTATCAGGTGTCATCTTTATTAAGACATATATACACGGTTCAGATCCAGAGATTATACGATTGTTGAAAATCATCTTTTTAACAATAGAAATATTCACATGACACCATGAACTAGTCACATTTTGCTGGCTACTTCGAATGTAAATCACCCATTAGCAGCAAAGTACTGTGGTTTAGGTTTTGCAAGTACACATAATATATCAGAGGAGCAGTGAAAGGTACAGACAGGTTAATGGTTGTTTTGAACCGCTGGACCGGCACATGCCTTCCTTGTTTACACCTACCTCCTGTCTGTCACCCGCAGCTGATCTCAAGGTCATTAGGTCGTTACACAGAGTATCCAACGTCAACATTACCGACTATATGTTGCATGTTACAACGTTCTACAACCAAGTAACCTGCCGCCACACTACGATGTGGGTATTCTTTCTAATATGTCATTTACTTATGCATAACAAGTTATGTTACATAAATTAGGACCGTCCTCTAGATAAATTACATGATAATAAGCTCAATGTGGCACAATAGAAAAAAAAAAAAAAAAAAAAAAAAAAAAAAAAAACTAAGCGTTGTTTGATGTTCCCAATTATGTTTACCGACTTTGAAAGTAGACTATAATGAATTTAAATAAGAAATGTTGTCTTTGCTTCGCTGAAAGATAATGGTGTATTTACTTGAATTTCTTGATCAATTTACGTGATGTATTAGCACATAAGTAACTGAACTTATATTTTGAGAAATAAACAAACATTACTCAGTCTTTTAGTTATTTAGTAAGAACAAAAAAGGGTAGTTTTGGTTCATTATGATACGACGAGACATAATTACATTCAATGGTCAATATTCAACTTAATCAAACTATATGTTTTCCACTATCATTAGAACAAACATAACATAAATTTTGGTGGTACATTATGGGGACAAATATTTTACATAAAAAACACTAATTCGCATGAACCATACAGTCTGTCCCACGAACGTGTCTCAAATTGATTACGGATAAACGGCTTAACGTACAAGGATGAAATACAATTATTTCCCGCTAAATCGACCAAAAGGAAATATACTTTAGCTACGACGTAAAAATGTTTTTAACCTTTTCCGACATAAGGTGTGCCAAAAACTGAGGGCCAGTAGTTCGAATCTCGGAATTTTCAAATGTAAATAATACTGTACATAACTTAAAAGGTATTTAATAGACAAACATTTTGGCGAAAACAGAAATGAATGATCTCTTTACGTTTCAAAATGGTGGCAGTTTTTTGAGGGAAAATCAATATGTTTTTAATACTCTGCGTTTCCTATACCAAGGCACTTGGCCCTTCTCCGGTTGAATTTTCTTACTCGTTAAGAAATTAGCTTTACTGTTTCAATGGAGCTCTCTAAATTGCAATATAGTTTAATACAATGGAAAGTTACTGATCAAATTAGTACCTCTGCACTCTCGTTCTGTAGGTACTGCCCTAGTCATTCCGGTAAAATAATTCACTTATATAGGAATTTGTTTCAATAAAACCGTTATAACTACTATTTACACAGCAGTTTAAAAATATTATGCTGTAGAGAAACATTGCACAGGTATAAAATGAATTTAGGTTTTTGTAACTAGCATAAAAGTTCAACATGTTCTTATGCGGTACCGGTAGTTTTAAATTATATTTTTACTTGTTAACAACTAAGAGCGAGATAGCCAGAAGAGTTTTGGTATATATTATTAAGGATTAATTTTGGTGAAATAAATAATACCACTTCAAAGCTAGAATTGTGTGTTATATTGAACATCTTACTTGAGTTTTGCACCGTTTATCTGATGATTAATCGTCGTTGATGTTAGATATAATATAGGTGATCAATACTTTGTTCATCATAGTGGTAATACTCGTTACCTGTGATTAACAAAATACAGTAGGTAATTATTGTACTATTCAAATACTGTACTCTTACTGTTGTAATTTCAACTTATAATATTTGTATTTTAGTTAAAAAAACACTTTGTGTTACATTACACATAACATGTTTATTAAAATATGAAAAGAATACAATCCTACCAACATTTCTTTTACAATATGTTACAACAAGAAAACTTAGGACACAAAGATAATATCCACATTCTGTGGTTTAGAGAGTTGCGTGGGAGAGTGGTATTTTATGTTTTAGCAGAACCTGTAATTTTAGTCTTTAGATTGCGACACGCGTCTAGGAAGGACTTCACTACTTTCTCTTTATGGTATCGCGTTTTGTTTTTACATGTCAACAATGATTAGCCCAAAGTATTGTTACTACAGAAAATATAGAATTTTTAGTTCACATGTAATTACATACCTCAATGTTTTTAATGTATGCGTATAGGTTTTTCTAACTGTTTAACTGTCTTGAGTTTCAGTAGTTCAAGAGCAAGATTAAGGGACTCCCAATTAGAAGTATTTGAAACTTTTATCGTATATTCTAAGTCTGTAATTCAATAAATAAAGTCAACGATAAAGACTTGTGTTCATGCATAATATACAGGCTTATCACCCGGAAATATTTTAATTAATATTATCTGCCCGCGACCATTGACTATACGTGTATATTCAATGCCGTGACACTCGTCCCTATGATGAAGTTCTGTATCTGATGCACTATTATGATATTATTCCATTTCTGTAAGCTTTTATACTGTATAATAGAACATGTTCTCTTGATTAATAAATTACATTTGTATAAGGGTATTCTTTTTTATTCGTCTTCGCTGAAATAGTTGGTTTACTTTACAAAGTCAAATGAGAAGTAAAACAGGAATACAGTATAATTATTGTTTGTGTAAAAACTAAACTAGCAATTATTGATAGAGATGAGTTTTATATACTTGTATATCGAGTAACATAAACCATCCTATGCCTAACTGTAATATAGAAAGAAGATCCAGTGTTAATTATTAGGAAGGCTACTTTATAATAGTCCTAAAATAAAATCAGCTACAATACTTGGTTAAAATTATTTGGATATTACAGTTGATTGATTCAATGTCTAATCCGAATAAGCTAGACATTTTTGTACATTTTTTTACAATTTATAATGACTAAATCAATAAATGTTTTACTACGGCTCACGAAACATTTAATGTATTGATAATATGGTTTGTGTTTTAGCCTGTAATGTTAGTCTTTAGCTTTTTAGTTTTTTTAGCCATTTAAATCCATTAAAATGAAATTTGTCAAAGTGCTAAAAAAAATAATATGTAGCCGAAACAAACATCAAGATCGGTATTTTGTTGAATGTTACACTACTGTAGCATGCTATCGTAGTGTAGAGGCATACTATTACTAAACCGTACCATTGATATACCGTAATGGGACATACGATTGCAGCACGAAGCAATTCCATTTCAATACAAAGATATTTAATTGATTGTTGTATGAATGCATTCAATAATTATACAGTAGTGAGGAGGCACACGACAGTAGTATGAATACCCAATTTTTACTATGGGGAGATTTGGAGATATCATTCTAGGACGGAGATATACCATTTTGCACTGTGGCATACCATTAATGACGTTGCATTTAGAAACGTTATTTGGATCACAAGTATCCAGTAGAACTGACAAAAAATGTTTGGTCAGTATCATAGCTGTTGTATTGTAATACGTTCGGAGATTTAATAAGGATGAATAACCACTGGGGTTTGATGTCCCGGTGAAAGTTTGGTTTGTGATCGCCGCAAGCTATGACAAGCCACGAGTAAGGGACTGTTTGTAGCCTTGGCATTCGCACTGGTATTGAAAATATTGATAAGTCTATCAGGACTTCCCAAACCATCATTTCCTTACTATAGTGTCCTACATGGTATGGGAATGTCAACTAGTAAAGCAGCGTTACGTTGCTAACCACGGCCACAGTGGAAGATACACTACAAATGTAATCATTTATCTAGTAAAAAAACCTTAGAAAGTAAAAGATACTGTATGTGTGCATAAAAACCCAACATAAATATTCTTACCTAGTTTTGTAAAATAATATAATCAACCACCCATAAATACAAATAAAAATACCAAATTAAACCTATAATAATAGTCAAGTATTAGTTATTAGAGGTATTTGTATTTACGATCATAAATATGCCAGTTTAAAATTATAATACTTAATCAATAATTTTGATAGTCCATTTTACAACCGTTCGTCGTTCCTTGAAAATTGTGTGAATCGGTAAAGTCATTTATCTTTCAAGTATATAACGCATACGAAAATTCATACTCAACTACTTTTTAAGATAAAATAATCATTTGACTCATGAATACTTCCTCAAAGAACTTTTGTCACTACACGTCAGTAGCTGATAAGCACATTAGTCAGTGATGATAAGTCACCTAGTCATATATGAGGTGAAGTGTTTGTAGCTGCTTCAGCCACTTCGTCTACCTAGAGAGAGAGACTCCCTGTTCTGATCAGTTTACCGCATCATAAACACAGTAAGTAAATGTAATTTGTGAATCAGTGAAATCGAATAAGCCATCTAAAATACTGTCCGCAATATCTTTGAATACAAATAGGTCTAGCTAGACATTCCTTTCCCATGGTTAAGTTGTTGCCATATTATAATAAAAACAAATTTAGTAAAATTGAACCACGAACGGATTGTGATGCTGTCGATTGCTGATTTCTAACTTGTACCTTTTATCCAAGCCATAGAAAGGACATCTTACTGTAAACTGAGGAATGTTTATGTCCAATGCATCCATCATTTACCAATGCATATATAGTAGTTTACGCAACGATCGCGCAAGGATAGTAATAATGACACGAGTAGAAAATTTAAGAACGAGCCTTGGCAAGTGCCTTAAAAACTTCTACGAGAGTCGTTAAGGTTAATTACACGAACTGCATACACTACCTACGATTGTTTCTTAATTACTAAAAATCACTACTTTAGTTTATAACCTCTCATGCCACCGATTGTGATGCAACGACTTATCTCATTATTTAATCAACTAGCTGGCCCGACGGGTGGTGTGACAACAGGACTGAATTTGACCTGGTCCGTTCTGGGTCCGCAGGCGCAGCCATGCGGATAATTTCAGGGGTGCGACATTAGGACTGAGGGAGATCTCCCTCGCCGCGTCGGTTTCTTCCCGTTCTCCCGCGGCCAGCACCCTTCTTCCTACCCTCACAGACACAGGCAAGAGAACTAATCACCTAAAGGAGTCGTTCACTAGGTCGCTGAGAACGCATCACCTCATGGAATCGTTCACCTAATTGCTGCGTCGTGTTTTTGAGAGAACTCGACAGTGCAGCATATTCTTTCCAGTTCAAAACTAAAATGTTTAATCACTCTAACAGTTGTTATATCCATTAAATAATGAATAAAATATAGGCTCTATTATTTTGTAAGTTACATAATGTATAGTGAATGGAAAAACGAGGAGTAAATAAAAAAAGCTGTTTAGTTGTGCACTGTCTTAAATAAAAAAAAAAATATTTTCCGAATTCGTTTAGCTCTTCTATCCGACCGATTTTCATGATTGAGGTCTCAAATTGAAGGTATGCACGCACAGATTTGCCATCAAGCATTGGCATATAATTATCTATAGTCTCACTCGGTCTATACGTAAACGAAATTTGCTCTCCATGTATTTCTTATAGGAGTAAAATTTGGGTTCTCTTTGCCGAGTTCTAGCTCTTCTACCCGACCGATTTTCATGATTGAAGTATCAAACTGAAGAAATGCACGCACAGATTTGCCATCAAGCATTGGCATATATATTATCTATAGTCTCACTCGGTCTATACGTAAACGAAATTTGCTCTCCATGTATTTCTTATAGGAGTAAAATTTGGGTTCTCTTTGCCGAGTTCTAGCTCTTCTACCCGACCGATTTTCATGATTGAGGTATCAAACTGAAGAAATGCACGCACAGATTTGCCATCAAGCATCGGCATATAATTATCTATTATTCCACTCGGCCTACACGTAAACAAAATTGCTTCCCTTATATTTTTTACTAGCAGAGTACCCGTCCTTCGTACGGGGTTGGCATATAAGTATCAAATGCTTATAGCAGTTATGAGTGAGGACATGGTTTAAGAAATTTCGGTTCTTTTTTAAGTTCGTTCGCTACGCTCACTCACCTTTAGGTTGGAGCTCGTTCGCTGCGCTCACTTTCCTTCAGGTTAGCTCGTTCGCTACGCTCACTTGCCTTCAGGTTAGCTCGTTCGCTACGCTCACTCGCCTCCAGGTTGAAGTTCGTTCGCTACGCTCACTCACCTTTTGCTGTTGTCATAAATGTAAAAGAAATAATAGTGCTAGTGCTGCACCCTGTTGGTAATCCTTGTAACTTTAATACTATTGAACATCACAGAACAGAACCAACTTGTTTAATTGAAACAGCTGTTAAGATTCAATAATTTCATTTCTCATAAGGTTAACATGGGAAACTCCAGAGCCACTGGGGCGGAGCCCGAAAGGATTTTTGGGATAAAAATATGCCTATATGTTAATCGGGAATGTGAGCTATCATCATGCCAAATTTCAGCCCGATCCGACCAGTAGTTTTCGCGTTTACTTTTCCCATACACACACACAGACACCACCTCTTTTTTATAATAGTATAGATGGGAGTTAATTTAGGGTTTTCTTTTCCGAGTTCGTTTGGCTCTTCTACACGACCGATTTTCATGATTGAGGTCTCAAAATGAAGGCATGCTCGCCAATAATTGACAAATATTTACCTACTGTATTACTCGACAAAAAACATAATTTGATATATTTTTGAGTTCTTACTACAATTTATGATGTATTTCACGAGTTACTATACAATCCTATATATTTTAGTCTAAGAACCTCCAGTGAAATACCGCCTTTCATTTAAGCTATTATTTATTCAAATCGGACGAGTTTAAAGCAAACGTAAGGTGAACAACCAACAGAAATATTATTTTCCAAAAGGGTTTTCTATGATTAAAATCAATAGCTCCAGTATTGTGCATGTTTTTGTACATGTTTAAAACTAAAAATAATTAGTAAATTATAGGCTTTAATTTGAGCTATTGATCGTTTGAATCAGTTAAGTTCAAGATACTGTGTTACTCAATCAAAAAATCATAAATTTGATTATATCTCGGATATTATATCTATCTTAACGCTGCGGAGCAGCATGGGTCCTCTAGTTTACTATTATTTATAAAATCGTTACTTGCATTAAAACCAGCTCAGTTTGAACAAACAAATACATTTAAATAGGGTATACAGTTTACCCAAAGACACTTTAAACTTTCACTTTACACTTTTTAGCCGGGGTATTTTGCATGTAGACCTAATGTGAATTTAGGCTTTTCATATTAGTAAATTTATGAAAATTTAATGTTCGTCATGGGCAATATATACGTTTAAAAATAGTTAAAGATATTAAAGTAAAACCTAAAATTAAACTAAAGTAATTATTAGGTTGTTAGTTAATTTTGTAGTACAGTGTTAAATTGTACTACTGTATTGATATAAGGAGTAAAGGTGTTGTTGACGTTAAGTCGTATTAACTGGGTTTATTTATTTAAATAATGCCAACTTTAAATATTTGGTACAACTTTCAAGCATAGAACTCACTACTGTGGACATACACCAACAACGCTCTGATTTTCGTTTCAGTACAGTGTGGTATTGTTAGTTTGTGGAACGCATCTCACGAACTCCCTGGATTGCAGCAAATGCAGCTCATAGAATTAAAATTTGATGTCATAGGGTTTGTTGTGGACGGATACTGATCTGTTATTTTCTGTGAACATATTTCAGAAAGTTCATTGGCATTGGTGTTGTAGTACATAAATTATTTCTCAGTAATCCATTACATACGACCTAATAGCTGGAAGGTCCAGATTACAGAACATTGGGAACTATGAACAGAGGAAAGGGAATGTGTGACCCTTCCTGGAATTCCTAGCTCGACGCAGACGTTTCTCTTTGTTAACTATGCATCAGGTGAACGGGATGTTGGTAAATAATAGAAAATCTCAATAACTAACGGTACCAAATGTTGTCATGGTGAAGTGTTGTTTAAAAAATAAAACATTTCTTTACTGACAATACATATCTTTACTGAGGATATTTCAATCCTCCAGCAGTGCTTGCTAAACAGAGGATGAGGATACTGTCCATCACATTGCTAAGTAAAAAAATATTTATACTACTTGAATTTACATGCTACATCAGTGACACACTTTTGATTGTCATTTATATATTTAGATAAAAAGATACATTTATGATATTATACGTTCCAAACAAATTAAAATATTGTAATTTTAAATTTCATGTAGTTTCCTGCTTCAACGCGAGGTCCGATATAAATTGTCGTTTTCATTCGTTTATGGTTTTCAATTTCGATAACTTGAGTGGAGTGATTGATTACATCATCTTTGAGTTGACTCTTGCAAGTCATCGGAAATTATTACTGTTATTCGTTTTGAAATAATGCCTGAAATACTTTGCAATGCTCGAATACGAGCAACAGAAGCACTAGTTTAAAATAATAGTTGTTAGCGCTGCAACGCGCACCCGTAGAGTATTATGTATAGGCCTACATCGATGCGCGCACCGGGTAACTGCTAGTAAACAAAAACTGTATGGATCATAAACATAAATAAATGGTGTCGCTTGCCGAAATGTAATAGTAATTTTCATTACCCTACACACGAAAGTACCTACACTTTTTGAGGTCGATTCACACATAACAGTTACGACACGTCACAGTTAGCCAAAATATTCTTTAATGGATTTTCTATTGCTTTATATACACTCATCCGGCGCAAATCCGTCAGTCGCTCTCCCGGCGTCCGTCAGTCAATTCCAGATTTCTTTCTACCGACATTTTTGGTTTTCGGCCTCCTGTCGGACGTGTTTGAGATTAGAAAAATAGTGGGGTTTTTCATTTAAATGATCGAGTTTGTATTTTAAGTACTGTTTGTAACAATGGACAAGATTTAGGATGAGATTTTGATAGAATATTAAGTTTTAATTTACCATTTTTCACCGTAACATCACTGTAAATATAGTAACGCAAGTCCGGCTGAAACCAAATGAATGACCCTGACAATCCACAACACATTAATTTATGTTACAGTCGATGGTAAAATTACTCGTTCCTACACTCTATACTTATATAATTTGCCTGAGAAATTTTGGATTCAACTGAGACTGAACTGTGACTGGTCTGTGGTGGAACTGTGACGGAACTGATATAAATGAACTAAGAAAATACAGTAGGTTATTTCCGCTACTGCAGCAAAATTACATAACGTTAACTTTCTGTGCATTTGTGGTGCACGGAACGTAACCGGTATGGGATTTTGCTGTGCAGACCCCATATTGAATAATCAAAGGTATTCGTATTGTTTACAAGTTTTTCGATATCGTAATGAAAATAATGTTAAATACTCATCTGAAAAGTGCCATTGCGGGTTCGAAAGCTTTTTCCAAACAAAT